ATAATATGGAAGAATAAGCTTTCATTAATTTATTTTTTATTCAAATGATATCCATATTATACTAAACAACAAATAAAATACTTGCGCAATAATATAAAATTGATTTTTACTCTATAATAATTTCACCTTTATAATCAAAGTTTGTGTTGAAGGCAGATAGTTATTCACTTACGTACACTATACAAGTAATAATATTCTTATTTTTTACATGAACGTGTAATCAAGGCAATGGAACTGAACGGTTCTTAGAATGCACGAATCATACAACTGTTGACGATTATGTGAAATAATATATATATATGTACAGACGAATATTTACAAGTCACTAGATAACTATAGTACATAAATATATCACATCATATATTATAACATTTAAGTTGTATAAAATAAGGTGTAATTTAGTGTTAAATTATTTGAATATGTCTTGTTAAAAGTCTATAAAAAGTTTTAATGTGAAAACTAAGAAGACTAATGAACTCAAATAAGATATATTTTACAGGGTAAATGTTTAAGACCAACAATGAGCATAAGTTTCAAAAAAACAATTTTTTGTTTTTGTCACAATTTACAAATATCTACTGATTTAGAACTCGTGGTGATTTAGATTAAAAATAGTGTGCACAGCAGTCGGTAGTGGCTCGTAATATAGTTCATAAATTATATTCGTGAAATATGTAACATTAAAATAATTAAACGACAGTTTAAACAATCTCGCTGTTAGTTAGTTAATAATTAACAATGTCTGTCTATAAAAATATTTGATTGTAATTCAACAAAATCGTATATTTTTATATATTTTAATTTTTAATTTTAATATTCATAAAAAATATTCAGTTTAATTACCATCAAAAAACTATTTTCAATGTTGTATCAATCATGCATGTTAAATATGTACACCTTGTGCGCTCTTGATATCTATCGAATCGAATAATTATTTGAATACACGTTTTATTCACAAACATGATTTGGTATCAAAATATCTACCTAAAGCTGATTGCATTGTTTGACAAAGGTTCATCTATGCGTATTAAACGTATTTTTTTTTATTTTTTTTGGATAGAAATCATCACTTCGTTAGCAATAACGATGTTATTAGTTCACAAACATATTACATCTAAACGGACTTTGTTGAAACATTATGATAGGATTGTTTTTCAGCGTATGATTTTACTTTGTTCATGAAAAAAAATAAGTTATAGTTAAAACAATGGTTAATAATTCGGTCGTTCTTTATTTCACGATTTGAATGATGTTGTTTGTACACTTAAAAATTAACATTAAAATATTATTTACATTCTTAGCAGAACGATACAGATTGAAATCATAATCATGATAGTATTATATTGATTATTTAATGAAACGTATTTAATATTTATTTAAGATCGAATTTTGATTATTTAAAATAAAAAAACTAATGGGAAATCCTATGAATAGACACTGAAGTTTAATAGATATTATTTTAATTCATAAATATCCACCATACGTTTTCTAGAGAAAAAGAATAAAGACTGTAAAAAACGAATATTTTTATTGCGTTACAATAATATGATATGATCATTATTCCCTATAATGATTGTTTTATAATTGAGTACAGTATTTATTTAGCGAACAATTAATATAGTTTGTGCGTGCGATCTTTTTTTAAAGAACAAATTTATATATGTTTTTTCCTGAATATGACATAATAAATGGGATTTATTTTAACGTTTACGTATATATATTGACTTCGTGAAAAAATATTTATTTGAGAAAACATGAGAGAAGTTAGTTCATAAAATGTATTGTTGAAAGGTATAATCCTAGGTAGTGATAAAACATTGCTAAATAATTAACACAAGTAGAATATAACTCATTAAAGATGCTTAACTATTATAAACTATAAATTATCATTACCATAATATAATTGTCATTAACATTATGGGATCTTCGTCTTATAAACGATCAATCATTAAATCACAAAACTACAATCAATATATGATATATCTATTTTTGGTTGGAATATTTATTTGTTTATAATATATATATAATATAATTCACGTGATTTTTTCAATAGCGCCTAAGGACTGTTCTTCATCGTAATTTCTCGAAACATTTTCTGAAGATATAAGTTTTACATTCAGTGCGCTGTCTATAAGAATCTGATACGGACTTTCAATCGGTTTTTTTTTATTATTATTATTATTATTTACACGACTGCCTAAGGCTTGTTGAAATTAAATGTCATCGGGTCAATCGAACGGCATAAAAAAAAGTCTGTCACAATATTCTTAGTAAAGTCAATATGGATATCCTTTATCATTTCCTATCATAAGAATTTTAGCGTAAGAAAAATCACAAAACCTAAAACAAAACGGACGTATAACCCAAATATTAATTTAAGTTGATTCGTTGAACAGTTGGTGTAAATATGTATAATACGACAATTTTTACATTATGTGAATAGATTGTTTCAATTGTATTAGTATATTAGTTATTGTACCAATATTAAATATTTGTTTGTATTTATTTTCCCTAATAATAATTACTAATTAGGTATATTCTGACACTTATTCCCCCAAATCAAACCATTACTGATAAAGATGTAGTAATAAAAATAAGTTTTCTCCATTAAAAATACCATTATAATTTGTTAATTCAATAAATGTAACTCACTTTTATAAAATGTCGAATAAAGTTTAAATTGTACCAGAAATTAATTATAGGTAGTTAATACCAATTATGGATAAGTATTTCAATTATTCAATGAATCGAAATAGTATGTAATAATGATTCTTTACAACGAAAGTAATCATTATCTCTATTAGTTGTCTTTGCAATAAAATTTACCAACCTGACAATGATATATTTTCAAGATTGTCCTATTTGAACTTGAAATAAATACGTTTTATTTTATATCCAATTTTAGTAAATATTACATTGTCGAAGGCAACAAAAACGACGGTACGCTTTCCGAATAACCAGCGTTGGTAATTAAGGAGCGGCTTTCGCTTCAAGGCGTCCCTCTCGCTTTTTCCGATTTAATTACATTTTGGTTCACAGCTTTAAAACAGATCCAAATTTCAAATGCTTAATGAACTTCCCTTTTGTTTTATAGAATCCTTAAGATTCATCGTCCTTTTTGCTCTTATTTTTTTCGTCTCTATATCATTGTTCATTGTACATAATGTACAATGCGTGCAGTGTGAACTGCGAGTACGAATTGTAAATAGACACCACAGAGCATTTCACTTTTCACTGTAGTAGCATATGCGAGGTGGTCACAAAACATATTTACAACGCATTCCACTAAAATTATTACAGTTGAATTAGTTTCAATAATTCAACAAATTGGTACGATCAATCGTAATCGCTTATGATGTTATGAGCAGAGGCGTAATTTCAGTTTTCAAGGGAGGGGGGGGGCAAACGTTTTGACCAGCCCGAAATATAACTAAAAAAAAAAATAACCATTTGAGACAAGGCAAAAATAACTCACTTTTTGAGGGATAACAATGACTAATAATACATAATATATTATAATAAGTGGGTAGGTAATATGTAGATTGTAGAGCGATACCTTAATACCTTATATTACCTATTAGCTATTATATGTTGACTTATCTTGAGAGGAATTTTACCCCAATTGATGTTATATTTACTCCAAATATGAGTATAAATGTATTAAATTGTAAGAACAGTATTTAGTCTTAACAATATATTGATGTAAACTAAAAATCGTAACTAATAAATACAATAATAATACAACAATAATAATAATGGCAAGTCCAATCGTAACTCGTAAGGCATGAAGCGATCATCCTAATAAAAGGTTTAAACGGTTTTATAAGTTGTATTATTAATTATGGAACCGATAAACAATAAACTTTTATATTAGATCATGGAAGTTTTAAATTCTTATCAGTTATCTATAAAATAATCACTTTGATAACACATGACCACGGACTAATAGATAGTCCGTGCAGTTAAAGACCTTCAAGGGCCTGGCAGGACCGGCCCGATCCGGTCCTTAAAAAGCCCAGCCCGTAGTGACATTGGACCGGGTCGGGCCTTTGAAATAAAATAAATTGTTGGATTGGGCTTTTTTAAGCCTTGGAATTTTATTCCGGGAAGGGCCTCTGGTCTGGGTTTGTTTTTGTACAATTTTTCGGACCGAGCCGGGCTGGACTTCGAATAATAAATCAAGGGTTGGACCGGGCTTTTTAATCATTTTTCTTCGAAAATAAATAATTACAATTTAAAATAATAAATAATAATGATAAAACCGACGTTGGGAAAGATAGATACCTACATATAGAGTATACTCTATGGATTGATAGTTGATACTAGATTGTATATACAATCAAAATGAATATAATAATATATTGATTGGTGGGTATAATAAAGCTGTTTATATACCATAATAATAGCATATATTTTTTTCACAATATCTTTTGGACTAGGACGGGCCGGGCTCGAGGATAAAATTTATGGACCGGACCGGGCCGAAAATGTATGGCCCTTGCAGGTCTATTCCGTGCACATGACTCACAGATGCACTATCTACAGACTATTATTATAATATAATATAATCATATACCTTATGCTAAGGTCTATAAGTGTAATAGATTAATTAATAATTATAGGTACACTATAATACTCATTGAAAATAGAATAATAATTCATAATAATATACCTAATATAGAGAATATAGAGAATTAAATAATTTGAAATGTTAATTTATAGAGGACTTGCGGCCCATATCCGGCCTATATCTGGCCCCTCTATTGACAAAAGGGGGGGAATGATCACTATGCCCCCCTTCCCAAATGAAGCCACTGGTTATGAGTTACCTACGGTAGCGTATGAATCGCTTTAAATTCCGGTCAAATCTCGCTTTTGTAGCAACACAATAGCTTATTATATTTGTCTGAGCTTATTATACCAATTAAATACCAAATTTTTAATACAAAATAATTGCAAGGTTCGTATATGTAGGAATTGTATAATATTGTATTACTTACATATTTTAAAATTTTAAGTTGTAAATGTTCGTTGAGGTTTTCATTTACAATAGCCGATATGTTGACTAATTTGATAGCAGCGTGATAACGTACGGAATCTGAAATATTAAAAAAAAAAAAAAACCAATAATTATTAATTATATATTGGATAAATGTTAAAATAATAGTAGATCCATCATCATAATAATGTCTTTGTTATTTATCTCTATGATAAATACCTATGTGTTAAGTATTATAGGTAATAAATTGGAGAATTATAATTGGTTTAGAATGCCTATTATTACCAATAAGTAATAACCGCATGCCAATTAAGAAAACCTGGAAAATTGATATGCTATAAAATAGGTGTAGAGTGTCATCAAGTTACTGTAATGGACAAATATCTGACAGACCTTCATATTTCTAAGGATATTATACTATACATTTATATTAATATAAGTTATTTATTTTTCTTATAAGTATTGTAACAACACGTGTTGTTATTTTATGAACGAATTCATGCCAACCATAAACCGCTTATATTATATAAAATAATGTATAATATTTACTAAAATATTATTTCATGTAATAGTAGGTACTAGCTGACTTTAACTAATAATCATTATCGACCTACCACTGGAGGAATAAATACCATTAAATCAAACTAAATATCGTAATAGCATAAAGTTTCCTAGTCTCCGAGAATAATATTTTTCGAAACATAACAAAATAATTATAATTGTTATTTTTCGTTTAAAAATACTAAAAAAAATACTAAAAAAAATACTAAAAATACTAAAATAGTATAAAATATACAAAATATTTTTAGATTATATTCGAGGCTAGTGAATGTTAATATAAATATTTTCTAAAAATGCACGTCAGATAGGAATTTTTTAACTACAACAAAAGAAAACAAAATCAATTTTGATGAAATTCGGTTTTCGTTTTTGCACAGCTTTTTATCCTGGTTATATTAAAATAAAACTGTAATCTCAAAGCATCTATTAGATTAGATACCAAAAACTACCCTCAAAGTTGAAGATTGAAGAATTTTACCGTTCCAAAATGTGATGAATTTAAAACCAATACGAATTTATGACTCATGAATCTGCTTAGAATCTAAAATATAGGTATATTATATTATGTGTTATATGATCGACTCTATAATATGGTAAAATTAAGTAGAATTAAAAAATTGTTCAATCTAAGTATAAGTATCTTTATATTCTGTATAAAAATGTATCGCAGAACACGCAATGGTTTATTATAATTTATAGTATCTACCCGCTATAGTGCCAAATGAAACTCAAGTGTTTCAGCCGTTTCAGGTGTTGTAAAATTTTGAAAATAAAGTATATATTATGCTAATACTGTTTCAATCAATCCTGTCTTATTATAGTAAAGAACGAATTGTGATTCATTTTGATGTTCAATGCTGTACATAATTCACAATACAATATTATAGGTACATACTACATAGGTCAATCATATTCAAATCCAACATTGACCACACTCGGAAAATCTTTAATCGTTTAAATTACTTTTATGTTACTTTCAAGATAAGTACTACCTATTAGTTTAACAACATTTTAAACGATAAAATGTTGAATTAATATCAGTAAATAACACTTTAAATAGGTTCATAATATAATCCTCGAAATAGTTATTTTTTTAAATTAAACACTAGGATTATGTGTATGATTATTTTATATAACTTTCGTTTATAAATGTTGAACAAATATCTACTGTAGAATTATGTATTCCTGATTACTAATATTGTATTCAAAGTAGAATAATAGCATAATATACGTCTTACAACCTGTATTAGAACAAAACATGAATTTAACTAGATAATAAGTTTATATTCCATAAAACAACAGAATATATTTTGAATAAAAAGTTTTTAAGTCATTTTTTTATTGTTTATCTGGTTTAAATAATATAGACAGTGTGATTTAAGAAAATATATAAAACATGGTAAAGCACTTTAGGTCATAACAACTACATAATAAGTCAGTTACAGTATAATTTTTAAATAAAAGGATAGATTTAAAGTTAGAACAACTTCAAAGACAGATTATACAAGTCCCTAGTCGATCAAATTCTCAGTACTCAGTAATATTATAATGCCTACTTATAAACATAGACTAGCTACATTATACAATGTTTTATAAACATTATTTATATTTAATCCTATAAATTAATATTAAGCACAGCTCAACAATAATTATTGTTTTGCCGAGTGTTATTTCATTTATCAAACAATTTGGGGGCCTACACAATATTCTGTAGAACGTAGTCGGAACAAATAATATCATACTGTGGTGTATGGTTCTATAAAGATGAATCACAAGCACCTGTTTTCGATACCCACGTTCGTGTTGATGATGTTCAATTTTATTGGCTTGGAAAAAACATCATCCGATATAAAACTTTGTCGTACTATTCTCTCTAACGGGTTGATAATATATTTTTAATTTTTTTCATTCCGTAATATGGGTATTTTAAATTACGCTAATATGTAACGTATTTTATACGGGTAATAAATATATAATAGGCGAGCATAGTTTAAATTAATATGCACCAAGGCGTTCACACTGAGATATTATGCTTATAATATTTGTTAATTACTTACACATAATAATGATTCAATTCGTTCAGTGCGAAAAATACCTATGTGTATTGCGGTTACAATTATTATATTGTTATATGCACTTCACGGTGGCCTGTTATGGGACGGGGACGGCTCCAGTCGACAGTAGTTATATCTCGGGAAAATAAACAGCTACCTATGCAACGTCGAGCTCGTTGTTTTTAGATGATAAACACGTATGCCGCCGGTGTACATATTATTATCTCCAAAAGAATATTTAATATTCTCTAGCCGGTGCATTCCAGGGTAACACATATAATGTAATTAAAACTAATGGAGAAACTTTCATGTGCCTCTTAGCCATCTACGTCACGACGATTATACATACGCCGAAATAATAATATCATCCTTAGTGCGGCACGACAATGTATTGTATATTTGTATGTGCAATATAAAATTGCGGTAAAACCAGATGCAATACCGCTAATTAGATACAATAATGAGGATCATACAATAAACCACTGTCTAGTTGTGCGTACCTGCTTAAATGGTTATCAATTATATATGTATGTATAAATGTATTATATTTCCACAACGAAAATTCAAAATAAATGAATTATGATATTAGGCGTGACAACAATTGCTTAATACAGGGTGGGCATTCGTCCCGGATTTCACTAAAAATATATTTATAGCTGATATAGATATAGATACAATTTTGGTGTCACGGGTTTCTTAAAACTTAATATGGCCACCCTAGCTTAAAACAAAGGTTTGTGAATCTAAAATTTTTAAACACGACCAAAGAATTGTATTTAATTTTTTAATTTTTCTGTTTCTATAACTCATATAATGGTAAGTAAGTTTTCATTGTTTGTATTGTATAATATTCTTTAGGGGACGGAGTGGCCGAGAGGACTAAGGCGTCAGTTGCGACACACATCGTCGCCGGTTCAAACCGGGCCACGGATGGCATTTTTCTTCGGGCAGTCACGGTGTCCGGAGAGAGAGGTCGCCATCCCCCACCCTGGAATGGCAAATACCTAAGGGTGCCCGCTTAAAAATTCTGCCAAAATGAACATACACGTGTTCAAAACCGACAGTAACTTCCCCTTCAGTTCCACGGCCTCAATTGTCGAAGCCTCAAGTCTCAACCCAAAAAACAAAAAAAATATTCTTTAATATTATTGTATAAATATTAGTTATTGGGACTTGCATTGGAATCAACTATCAACAATAAATTAATAAGAGCAAAAAAAGTGGACTGTATTCTTTAAAATTAATATATGAATATAGGAACTCAAATTTGTATATACCGGTTAAGTACGGTCAATAGTCTTTTATTTCAGCCATCACAGAATTATACCAATAGATACATATTACAACACAATTCTAATGAAAAAAAAAAAATCAAACGTACATAAAAATAAAGTTGTATGCTATCGCTGCGTGCATTATGCACGCTTTAAGCTGAACAAACTTTTCGTTTGCTCAATCGTTATTGGCTTATCTCGGTTAATCGCCATGAAAGATAAGAAGGTACCATAACGCTCGAAATCCCTTAAAAATATTTACCCGTTTGGTAATACCATTGATTATATAATACATTTAACAAACTGCAGATAATACGTACGTATCTGATACACTCAGCACTCCGGCACCGGAACGAATTATGTAATAATATAAAATACAAAACGGTTTAAATTGTATTTAATGTAGAAATGTAGTATTTATGGAAGGTGGAAAAAAATCTAACCAAAAAATAAAATTGTACCTACAGAGCTAGAGGCGTAATTAAGGGGGGGAGGAGGGATTTGGGTATGGTATCACAAAATTGACTTTTTTTTTTAAACTAGTTATCTATGTTTATGTCCTTATTTAATTATATAAATATTATATTATAATTAAATTTATAGGTACTTTTGTACTAATATAATATATTTTATAGAAACAATAACAACTAAAAACCCAAATCCCTTATGATAGCCGTAACTAAGATAGGTAATATTAAATACTTCGTAATAAACACTAATCGCTATTGCTATATTACATAGATAATATAATATATTGAAATAATGCAGTTCAACTCGATTCTTAGGAATTTTTTCTTGAATCTATAGGTATATTGCAACGAGTTAAGTACAATGTTGCAATCGGAATTTTTCAGTCAAACTTAGTTCCAAGGTTATAACATTTTGAAGTTAGGAATTTTTCGAATATTATTACACATACACGGATTATTCCTCGAATCTACATAGAAAATGCAATTTAGCTCTAAGCGATTTTTAGAATTTTTTTTTAGAAATCTACATATTTCAAAGAGTTAAGTACAATGGTGCAATCAGAATTTGTATGTGTTCTTCTTTCTATTTAAATTTTTTTCGGTGGATTTTTATATCCGTAAGCAGGCTTTATTTCTGTGGGCTCTTTTTCCGCGGTGTGTTTATTCTTTTGGGCTTTTTTTTTCGCGATTTAGTATTTATATTAAAATATACAATTAACGGTTTTATATAGTTTATGGTTTTTAACTAAACTTAATGTATCAAACAGCTTTTAACTGTATAGAAATTGTTTTGATTGAAACGTAGAATCGATAAATATCTCATTTTGTGGAAACTGGTATTAATGGAAAAGGGCAAGGTACACTTTTATGAGAACTTTTATAGACGCCCTCTTTGTTTAGTTACTGATTAATTATAATTTTGGGATCGATGAAATGAGTCGTGAGCAATCTCGGCGTGTTTGATGTGCTCGTACGCACCTAAGATCCGTTCAATTTATAATTGTCAAATAAATAGGTATCTATAAATACAGCTATGGCTAAACTATAAGACTTACAATACAATGCGGAACGAAGTAACGAACGGAATTTATAATCACACTTTTGATGTGTTTAAAATATAGATAAGCGTAGAATAATGTAGAAGGGCCTAGAAGCATACATACACGCTGTTCATTCACATGTTTATTATTTTCTATTTTTGTAATTCATGATTATCTTTTAAAAATACTGATAGTTTTCAATTTTGACCTTTCAAGAGTACCAACTAAATAAATTTTGCATTCCAAAACCACTCTCAAAGTTTAAATTCGAATAATTAATAATTATACTATACCTATTTCTGTACACTGTACAGGCACAAAAAAAAAGAAAAACACACATCATTTTACAAATGAATACATTTATGGCTTGACTCAGAATTTAAAAAAAAAAAAAACGAAAATGCAGATGGTCATGCAAAACATAATATGTATATATATAATTACAATTTACGATACTGACTATAATATTAATATAATTTATATTGTGTGCTCTTAAATCATTCATATTATCACTGATTAAATTTTTTCACCAAAAAACAAATCTACAATTTATACTCTATGGGTTCTAAATGACAATAAAATATTCATAACAAATAGATTTGATAAAAATAAATATTTAAAAACAGTTATCCAACGTGAAATCATTCAGCTTGTGGAATTTAAAAAAACAGAATATTGATTTTTATTTAAAACCACCTATTTTTTTTTATTCCTCACGGAGACAAAAAGAACCTTTCTTTTGCAAGTTTCGGACACTTACACATTACCGAAGCTCACTGTATGTTACAAGTCTTAATGGACGAGAACTCCAAAGTCCCATGATGATCCTATTCCACAGGGAATATAATATTATAGGTAATGCATCAATAATATCGTGATGTATAACAAAGATGTATGCGTTGTGTAAAAAATGCAAGTATAAAAAAAAATATAATAAACACACAAATTGTATCGAGTTTTATTCATTTGATACGAGACGATTTTCAACCACGACAACCCGTTTTCTACAACAACCCATTCAACCATTCAATATTTTTACAATAAACAACAAATAATAATACTATCATTGACTGGATTCAAACATTCATGGCATCAGAATAATCTTGCACATGTTATGTGGAATGACACAATGGGTACATGGGATCCAAAGCTGAAGCTATCGTGACCACACAAATGTATATAGATATATAATAATATATGATTTTAATTTTAATTTAAATATAGTCATTACAAAATTCAAAAGACTTATAATAGTTGTTGATACTCAAAAGCTACATGAATTTAAAAATAATACGATTTCCATTTCCAGGAGGTTTTACGAGATGGTTGCTCACCACTACATTACATTTAATAGCAACGCTAATGAATATAAAATATTATACTTTAGTAATTCGCACTGTACTAGTAAAGTGCTACACAATTTTATTTAAATATAAATTATCATTCAAATTTTTAACCTCTATAATATAGCCCATTGCTCAACATTTTAAATAATTCAAGAATAATATTTATATATAAATATTTTTAATAAATTAACGGACACTATGGTCTAAATAATTAAGCCTATAAGCAATAAGTTATTATCGAAGCTAACAAAAAACATATCACAGATTATCATGTTTTATTTATGTTATCAATAAAATTAAATTTACAAAAACTGTAGGGCGTAGGCGGAGTGGCGATGACATTGTATATTATGACAATATTTCTCACAAATATAGCAGGGATGAAACTATTTGAAATAATTTATAAAAATAACTATGACTTTTATAGAAGACCATATTGGATATCACATTTCCAATTGGATTTCAAACAGGCGAGTCTATGGTCGATACGATTGAAAATGTTATAAAGATTGTACACCAGATACCAACCAGGCCGCTGCACTAAAGATAGCTGTGTGCAACTGTCTCGTTAGAAGTCATCGATGTGTTCAATTCGGTGTCATAAGAATAAATAGAAGAAGGCCTTTGGAGAAAATAAATCCCAGAATATTTCATAAGCATCCTATTACTATATGCTACCTTTTCAACAGTAATTTGATGTATGCAGACTACGTGACTGCGGGCCGAGAGATAACCAATGGGCTCCCTCAGGGATCTGTAAATGGTTCACTAATCTGGAGTATGACGTGTGATGAGCAATTTACCCTGAAACAGTGAGACAGCATACCAGGGATATAATGTGTCATGCAGGTCACATTTGTGAATGACGTGTAAATGATTCCAACGAGATACACAGCGAAAAATTTCTAAGATGCTATAAACTGGAGATCGTCTCTGACTGGATGTTAAATAGACAATTGAGGATGTCTCCCACCAAGACAGTTTCTGTGTTTATGATGAACACTTAGTGCACTTATGCCAGACCATAATTTTAGTTAACGTGATGAGAATAGACCCCCATCCGCATACGAAATACCTATAAGAACCGATCTCAGTGAGAAACTTAAATTCACGGTCCAACTGAGAGGTGAAAAAGCAGCAGTAATAGCGACGGCCTGTTTAGACTCATGTTTGATATTCAGTATTAACGGATCATCACAAAATGAAAGACAACTATTTACAACCATCAACTAATTCACGCAACATCCACATGGTCACTGTAACAGGTAGATAAACGAAATTAATTTCAACATAATAGAATGTTCGCAAAAGCATTCTTAACTCCGAGTGACGTCCTTAAAATCATAATGTCTGGAGTATCGCTAAATCATCTTTAAACGAGGGAAAATGGCTAAAGAAAATACCGAGCTACAATGATGTCCAAAAACAGATCGCAATCATTGGTAGCGGCAGAGGATAGCCACCAAGAGGGGAATTGAACAGCTGGACACAGGGGTCAGGTTCCAGAATAAAAGAAATACACGTCATGGAAACAAAAAAAAATTGCACTTACCTACATGTGGTATTATAATATTTTATACAGTGACATTTAATTATTGCGTTTAGAAAAAAAAAACAAAATCATAAATAAATAATAAAAATAATATGACCAAAATAAAAGTCGATTAAATATTTATATGAATACATTCTACGGCACTCAACAATAAAAATTTTAAGAACGAGGAAAATGAAATAATATATGTTTAAACATAAAATATGAACTATGGAGAAAAACTACTGAGGGGAGTGGACAAATTTGTCAGGTAGAAAGTATTCGGGGTGGGTACAAGTCGTCGTTTGATAACTGTGGATGACCTGGGAAGGGTACCTACCGTTTGACGTCGATAGTAGTTGTGGGTGAAGGTGAGTAGTGTTTCCAACTTTGAATATAACAAAATTTCACACTGGTGTCGCTTATATTTAAATCGATTATTTACCTTTTATTATTTAAGAATAACCAATATAAATATATGTTTTATAAATGTCAATGAATACTCCTTTTTCAAAAATTAAAATGATTTATGTCTGAAAAAAATTAATGATTAATGATGAACAGTCTCAATAAAATTATAATTAACTGTTTTTATATGAAAATATGTCTAAAACAATATTTTGAAATAATAAAAAAAAAAAAAAATCATAAACAATTTAAGGTTAGGTATTTTGCAAATGTGTACAACTCTAATAATATTAATCTCGATGACTTAATGTAATTCTTTTAACTACATTTTGACAAAACAAAGAAACAAAACATGCTTTTCCAAAGTTCACTAAACAGGAATGCATCTGTATAATATAAGTTTCCTAAGAGCCATTTATCTAAACCAAACTCATGCATGTCACAGATGTGTATAAATCTATTTAGAAAACTATTTGTAGAGATAAGTGTGTAAAATTAAACTCTGCGAACATGCTAAGTACCTGTTTTTCGTAGGTACGTAATTTATTAGACTTAAATAAAATATTAGATATTCTTAATATTAAAGTTAAATTGCGTACACTTATTTGGTACTAAAAAGTGCACGCATTTTAGTTAAATGCAATAAAATGCATATATATTGTATGTTATAAACTAAGTATATATTTAATATAGTAGGTACTTTTTATTATAATAAAGTATGTACCTATATGCTATAAAAGTAATATCAACCTGAAGATCCAAATTATTGTATGTTAACAAAATAAAATATTTAAATGAACTAGGTATAGGTATATATCAGACTCAAACTTATAAAATAATATCAAGTTACTGTATGTTATTTTATATAAAAATATTTAAATCCAATGGCGAATAGGTAAATCATAATATGGCAAATGGCAATGATTGATCCAACAAGAACATACGATAGAAAATGAGTAGAACCAACTGGAATAATTTACGATTTTCTATACTTGGAAACCTAAATCCACTTTATTTTTGTTCAAAAAAACAAGATAATTCTGGTATTTTATAAATTTAACAAAATATGACATGTGCCTGATAAGGGATTAAATTCTGCTGTGATCTAAGATCTTGTTTGTTTTAAACACTAAGAAATACGCAAAACTTAAAGATTTTTTCAAGTGAATTTTCACCCACCATGAACAGAGATAGTCTATGTCCGGACGCTAATAACATGATTATATTTAAGTTTTAAGTATAAACAATTTATGCAGTACTTTATGCAAGCAACCATGAGCTAAAGAGACAATTCAATTACAATAGAACCCTATTAAACATCAAAAGTATACTTAAGAATTATAACCGTCTATCAAATGCAAGGTATGGCCATTTGAAGCACAACTTAAGAATATAGCTATACTGAATTCTGTATAATTTCTGTAATCAGTTTTTATCAGAAATGCAATATCAAATAAACTATTTTTAAATATAAACATAACTAAAAATATATTTTGATAAAACATTTTTCAGTTTAATAAATTATTTTATATTACGGATAATCAACAAGATAAAAAAAAAAAACAGTATAATATTAAATAATAATATATTATATTAGATAGAATATGATGTAGAACACATATTTTATAATGTGACAGTTAGCTGATATTAAACTAAATTTAAATGAATAAGTGTGCCATTGCATTACTATAATTAATAACTGTATTTAAAATGTATTTTTTTATTTTCCATTAATCCATTACGTATTTTGTGAACATACATATATTCGTATACATTCTCCATCAGTTGTTTTTAAATTGAAAATTTCAAATTATAAATTATAGTTTTTAAGAAATGTACGACATAAATTAACATTGATTGTGTGTATTATATTGGACATTGGACGAAATTCATTTTCAAGACTAAATTATATTTTTACATTTCCACCCCAATAAACTTTGTGTTCATTTGTATGTCAATTGCTAAGTTACATGTGAAATAATAAAGAAAGTTTTTTAGAGTTAATTGTTTTTGTGGTTTTTATTTTTGCCTATCATCGAATTAACATTATATTTGTATACAACTTATATGGAAAACATTGTTTATAAATATATATATTATATTATATATCTTATAAAATATAATTTCAAAAAAAAAAAAATGAGTGGAGACTTGATCTACTGTATAGGATTACGGGACTCATGATATTTGACGAACAGAATGAATGGCTTGCAAGAAACAGTGAATTAAACGCATATATGTCGTTATTAACAGCAAAATGTAACAAATCACAGACGGAAACAGGACAATAATATTATATAAGTACATTCTTACAGGGCAAACAATCATCAAATGATACAACTACTTCTTCATCAAAGTTCATAACTGATACGTCAAAAGTAAAATATCACATACTTATCAAAATGTTCAAAATATTAATTAGACTAGGTAGGTACCTACTATAAATATTATCATAAGCTATTTATTTTACACACTTATTTGCACTCGGCATATTTCCATGTACGTTAGTGTAATGGTGTGAACATTGACTGTCCT